ACCTAGATCTAACCTTCTAGGGTCGAAATAACACACAAAGCCTCTACCTTTACATCCATGTGTGGCCCTTTTTGATCAAAAGGCCATTAAAACCTCTTAAACCTTGCATGGGGAGTTCTAATCGCATAAAGCTTGCACCTTTATACCTTAACCACCCTAAATACTTCTAGATCTGAAAGAATCTTGCTTGGGGACGTCTAAATCCTAAAAGCAACGATTCTTGGACCAAAATCTCCTTAAAAGGGGAAAAGTATAATCTAAAAACTAATGATCAAGTTAGAGACTTGATTACCAGAAAATGAAAATGATGAGATTGAGAAGCTACTTCTGGATCCACAAGTCTTTCCTTGAGCCTTCAAGTTTCCTCTTCTTCTTCTAGCCTCCAAGAACACCAAAACACTCAAGAATGGCTCACACACTCACCAAATGATCTAGGGTTTCGTGGGTTAAGTTCTGGGCAATGGGGACTGGGAATGGAACCAAGAGGAGGAGAATATGATGCTTAAATAGGGTGCCAAGTCCCAAATTTAGGGTTTCCTTAAACCCTAACCAACTCTCCGAGTCGGTCCCCGAACTCGTTGAGTAGGTCACTTAACCCGCGACCCGGAATGCACTCCTACTCGTCGAGTCACCCCACCTACTCAATGAGTCGCCTTTTGATTTCGAGGTTTTCCTTTCCTTTATAGGTCTTCTAAATTCGGGGTGTTACAACTCTCCCCCACTTAAATTAGACTTCGTCCTTAATGTCCATTGTGACCTACTACCCCGCAATCTCTCATGGTGCTCTGATACGATGCATACTCTAACCGCCTGGTCTAGTCCTCGAAGCACCCCCTCCCCTTTGTCTTTCGTCCGATCTTCCTTGAGAAAAATGCTAACCTTAGAGGGTAACCTATAGAGAACAATCCAATAGCCATAAATCTTTAGTGCATCGCTCTTACCCAACCAATACTCCTTCAGGTAATCCCCGAGTATTCATGCTGAACATCCTAGGGGTTAACCACTTCTTCTCCTGTGCATAGACTGGCCTTCCCAA